CTAATGGACCTGTTGTCACCCCGTGTGAGCCAGCAGTTTGTGAACAGGCTGCAGGTTAGAACATTAAAACCAGTACAGCTACATGCCACTTTACATATAACATTATCATACAACTGGTGGTGACATGGTGATAACTGCTGGATGCCGCTTTATTCCTCCCACATTATTCACATGCATAATGTGGCGATAGTTTCACTAAGACACAGAGGTCAGGGAGACTTAAGGAACCTGGGACGTGTAAAGGTGCGAATCCATTTATTTCTGTAAAGCTGCTTTGTGACAATGTTCATTGTTAAAAGCGCTATACAAATAAAATTGAATTGAATTGAATTGAATGAATCACCAGCCACTTTAGATCAGCACACACACAACGCTGAGGATTAATCATATTTTAATCCGGAGCATGAATGTCTTCTTCTTCAGTGAATTAATTCCAATCGATTGCAGATATTCGTGGTCAAATTTCAGTATCAGATAAATCCTGAGCTCCCCATTTAAACATTTCAACTGTCCAACCAACACACTCCCCAACCATGTTAAAACTGCATTACGCTACAAAACTAGTCAAGGTAAGCTAAGAACTACAATAACCGTAAATATATACACTAGCGCTGTTAATTTCTCAGCTCTGATTTAGGTCAGAAGGTGTTGATTCATTTTCTGCACAAGCTCTGACGGTAGTTCTGACTGCAGGGTTTAGATTTATTCACCCATTCTATTATCGCATTATTGTTTCCATAGTAACAGCTTACACAGTGACTTGAATGGCAAATGCTCCAGATAAATAGCTATAGATAGCATGCAGTTGTTGATATGGTGAGGTTTTCTGTAAGGAGATGTTTATCAAGCAATTTTTGGAAGGAGTCTCCAGGATCAGCACTTTGTAGCAGTCAGAGGTAGAGCTGTACGACACGGGAGAGTCTTCAGGAAAGAGGGATTTGCACTTTTTTTTTCTTAACAAGCTCCATTTTCTGTCTTATTAACTCTTATTAAAGCTGGTGAAAGAATGACTGTTTATAGTTGCTATAACGCAAATCATAACAGCAACTCCACAGCATCAAACGTAACTATAAATGGATAAAAAGTGTGTTGTGTCATTCTTTAATAAGTTCAAAACTGTAATAATTGGCAAATTGCCTTGGTTTAAGAGACATAAAACACTTCAGGACGTGCTGTTATTGGGAAAATAATCAACTCAGCTTCAACACCCAACTTCTCGTTGATTATTTTCATTTATTGATTATATAATTTTAAATATAATATTACAGTCTATAAGAAAAGGCTAACTGAATAATTTTCAATTCAATTCAATTTTATTTGTATAGCGCTTTTAACAATGGACATTGTCACAAAGCAGCTTTACAGAAATAAATGGATTCGCAAAAAATATTTTTGTAAATATGTGACTTTATCCCTTTTTCAATATTTAATTTCAATAAATAATTTCAATATTGACCAAATAGTTGTGATTATAATTTAAGCCATTATTGTACAGCCCTAGCTTTGTGCTGGAGATCTTTTTGCTTAAGTGCAGATTTCAAACAGAGCCAGATATTTGGATTATGTTTGTAATGGCTATTAATATAGTTAATTAGCTATCATTACAAGCCAGGCTAGCTACAATATATTCTTAGGCTCCCGTTTTTTCATCTTCATGTTGTTTTGTGTTAGTTGTAATGTCCAGAGAAGCCGTAGCATGTGGCTCTGTTTGACGTTCTTTCCATTGAGTTGTGTCAAAGTGGTCAAAGAACAAAAAACAGTGACTTGTATGGCTTTTAATAGCCTATCCTGACGGACATTTACAATGCCTAGAGCGCTAGTGGAGCAGCAGCTAAAGCCATCAGGGCTGAGGCGAGACTGCCGTCCCCCCCACAGCCTTCAACCTCAAACACAAACGACATCTCTGACAGGAGCAATGAAAAACAGCTGGGAGAAAAAGGCCAGAGAAAAAGCAAACGCAGTTTAGCTGCACTGACCATTCATCTTGCCCATTCCCTCCTCCTTCCTTCTGGTCTACCACAGCCTCAGAGATCTGCCGCTCATCACCATCCAAAAGGCAACATCGTCATAATGGCAGGAATGTGGAGAAGATCCATTCCTGCCTAAGCCTGCTGCCATTCTCAGGGAGTCCTTCTTGGCTTTCACTTAAACGGTGCAGAAAACCAGAAGCATTACTTAAACCCATTATGCGAAAAATCAAAACATCAGGTCTGGCGATTAAAGTGGTAAATGAGAGTTTGTTTATGGCTGGGGCTCTGTGCTGAACCGGGTCCAAAGCCTCAGGTGGAGCTGGCAGGCTGGGGAAGGTTTTCTCCATTCCAGAGCGTCCTGTGGGCATGAGCACCTGGCAGAGCTGCCAGATGTGGTAGCAGCTGGAGTGCAAGGCCGCCCAGCCTCTCCTAATCACTTCTAAAAGATGGATAATTAAATAACACAACATAACACACTTTTTCTTTCTATATTTAGGGGCAATACACATTAATCAACATCTGTATTATTGATATCTCTATTATCAACATCTGCCATACATTGAGAGGTTGATATTTAATTTAAAAAAGAACAAATAAAACATCATATTGTCATTCCTAATTTTCCAGCATTTTTTGATGTTATTTAAGATGTTTTTCTTCTTTTTTTTTGTAGAATAAACCAATGGTTTTCAAATCTCTCAAATCACTAGGACGTTCAGTTGAATCATGTGATTGATACGCAGTGCAGATTGATCAAAAATCAATGCTTTACTAGCTTTACTAGCATTGCACAATCACCTCTTGTAGTGGCACTAGTTGACCTATTTGTGATTTTATAAACAAATACTGGAGGAGCAAGAGCAAACTTGGATTTTAGCAACTAGTGCTACATTTTAGATCTGCATTAGCTTAAAAATCCATACTTCTTTGGTTGGACATAAGCAATTTACATCCAACTAAATTGCTTGGACGTAAATTGACCTCTCAACATCATTGTTTTAGGTAAAGGAGTAGATCTGGGGGACTCAGGGATGTTGAGTCTTATAGTGATCTGGTGTGCTTGGATGCTGTCTTCCTCACTCTCACTGGTCACCAGGGATCTCTCACGTTTTTGTCTCCCTCTGGTTCTCCTTTTAGTTATGCTGTAATAGTTAGTCCTGCCGGAGTCCCCTGTACTTCATGTTTATCTCCACACTGTGTGTGTGACCGTTCCTAACCGCTCTCCCTCTCTTTCTCCGAGTTACACCCCTGAGCTGCCGGTGTTCCAGATGCCCACCGCCCAAACACCA